AAGCAGATCAAAACTTCCAGCTACAGGAGACACAAATGCAACAACTTCCTGCTGCTGCTTTGGTAGCATCTCACCCTGGCAGGAACACTGGCTATTGCTGAACACAATTAATAAGCACACTATCTGAACAGAGATGCTTAGGACTTTAGCCCCTGGTTCAAAACCAGCCTTCTGAACACACTGCTTCAAACACACTATTTCACCTCCTCTTGTTTAGCCCCCTTCTAGTCTCACATAAGCTTGGCTGCCTGACACAGGCTTTCTTCAATCTTCTGATCAATCCAGGTGCCTTGACAAAAGGAACAGTTCCACAGGACAATAGCCAGAAAGATGGAAAACCTATTTTAAAATAAACGTTCTTCATATTTGAGGTTACAAAACCCAAACACATTACTTTATGTTCCCAGATGCCGCTAGATTTATTCCCTTAAGTCGACAGCTCTGTTTGCCCAGTTCTGTCACTCTCTGAAGCCACTGCAAGTCTGTCCTGTGACACTGAACTTACCTACTAAAAAAAAGATGGACAGAGACAGCATGAGGATGCTCGGCAGGTAGACCCACACTGAGCTCCGTGTCTTGCTTGCTCGGAGTTGCTGGCTACAGGGACTAACACACACATTCTAGTGGTTTCCTACCAACTGCCCTTCACCTAGGAGTAGAAACCTAAACAAGGACAAGTTAGCAAACAGGTGAAAAATCTTATGTCTAAGCAACAAGAGAAATATTCCAGTCAAAGGTTCTTAACAGTTACCTATTAGTTTTCAAATATCTACCAAAGGGAGATGGGCTACTACTGATTTATTTAAATTAAAATACCGTTTTGTACATAATAGTCCTTAAAATCTGTTCTGGACATAGTATAGCCCTTGAAGCACACAATTATGCATTTTGTTATGTCTTTTGAAGCCAGCCTGCCTCCGCACTCAGTGACACCTTCCCCAGATAAGCGCTGCACAGAACCACCATGATGCCCTGATTGGAGCTCTGAAGCCAAGTATCAGTACCCTCGATTTTTTCCTTTTCTTTTTTTAAAGCCTGGCTACATGCCCCTGCTGTGCAGACCCCCCTTCTTTTTTTTTTCAATTATTTATTTATTATGTATACAACGTTCTGTCTGCATGTATGCCTGCCTGCCAGAAGAGGGCACCAGGTCTCATAGATGGTTGTGAGCCACCATGTGGTTGCTGGGAATTGAACTCAGGACCTCTGGAAGAACAGTCAGTGCTTTTAACCTCTGAGCCATCTCTCCAGTCCCCTGGATTTTTCTCTAAAAATTTGTTTTGCCGGGCGGTGGTGGCGCACGCCTGTAATCCCAGCACTCGGGAGGCAGAGGCAGGCGGATCTCTGTGAGTTCGAGACCAGCCTGGTCTACAGAGCTAGTTCCAGGACAGTCTCCAAAACCACAGAGAAACCTTGTCTCGAAAAAAACCAAAAAAAAAAAAAATAAATAAAAATTTGTTTTGACTTTTGATTTTTTCCTATGTATGAGTACTTTGCCCGCATGTATATATTTTGACTTTTGATTTTTTCCTATGTATGAGTACTTTGCCCGCATGTATATATTTTGACTTTTGATTTTTTCCTATGTATGAGTACTTTGCCCGCATGTATATATTTTGACTTTTGATTTTTTCCTATGTAGGAGTACTTTGCCCGCATGTGCATATGTGCATCACGTGCACATCTCATGCCTAAGGTGAGAAGAGGGCATCAGATCTCCTGAACTGAAGTTAGGGGTGGTTGTGAGCAACCTTATGGGTGCTGGGAAGCAAATGTGTGTCCACTTAAGCAACATGTGCTCTTAATCACTGAGCCAGCTCCCCTTGCAAAGTTTTTAAACAGGACCAAATGTACCTCTCATGTAATAAACTAAGCCATCTAGAAAGGGAAGCTCTAACTTGTCTGGGAGAAGCAAGTTACCCCTTTCACAATCCTTTAAAAGACCCAAGTCTGAGAAATAATGAGTGCATGGTATTTTGCAGCCCCACTATCCACGCAGAAAGCTCAGGAATAGGATTTTATCATGAAATCCTGTCCTCCACTACATCTCTACTTCTTGAACCAAATTCTAAGATGTGAATACTTCTCAGATCATCAGATGTGAGCTACAAACAACAAGTATGTATGAGGGGCTTAGCAAGGAAAACTTCTATACGTTCCAGTATAAAATATATCCACATAAGAAAGGTTAAGGTCCTTATGACAAACTCCAGAAGAGAACACCAGGCAATACTACATTTTGACCAGCAGGTGCCTCTCTGGAGTGTTTGACATCAACCCAGAAGAAAGCCAATTAAGGAAGACCTCACTATTACTCTACAACCATGTCATAGAACCCCAGACCTGACCACTCATGGGGGGCTGGGGAGTGAAGACAGGGGGATTTTGAGATCAGTTGTGTTTCTGAGAGACTGTACATTTCAATATAAAATGAGAATTAGTGCAAAAGTAGTTGTTTTCTTAAAATTTAATGGCAAGATCTTTGTGTGGAAACAAATGAGTTCGTACATATGTGCACGTGCAGGCAGAGGCTAAAGGTCACTCTCAGGTGTCCTTGTATCACTTGTGGCCATTTTATTTGTTTGTGGAACAGAGTCTCTTAGTGCTCAACTGATTTGGTCAGATTAGCTGGCCAGTGAGCGCCAGGGACTCTCCTGTCTCCACGTCACAGTGCTAGCGATTAAGTGATTACAGATCCATGCTGCCACACCTGGCTTTCTCCAGGAAGGCTGGATCCAAATTCAGGTCCTCAGCTTTATAGGATAAGCACTTTCCTGACTGGCTTACCTCTTCTGTTCTGTTTAACGGTGAGATCTAGCAGCATGGAAGGATGGCAAATATGACTGTTACTGTCAAGAACACAGTGTCAAAGCTCAAACAGAAAGACAGCGGAGTAGAGAATGGCAAGTAGAAAAAAAGAGAGGTCAGTTACAGAAAGGTGAAAGTTCGTAGCAAAGAAATAAGCAATGAAGACCTGGGTTGGGTTCCCAGCATCCTTAGCCTGGTTTAACTCTAGGTTCAGAGCATCTGATGCTCTTTGACCTCTGAGGACATGGCACACACACAGTGTATACATACATACATACACACACACACACATGTTCAGGAAAACACTCATACATATTAAATAATTTTTAAAATTAAATTATGCCAAGTTTGCAGGGGATTTAAGGACAAAGAAGCAGCAGTGCGTGGAACACAAACTCAAGGGCAAGGATCCATGGGCTGCTGACACAGCACAAAGTCTCACAAGTCTACCAGACAACACCCTGGGAGTCAGAACCCATATTAAAAAGAAACAGTAAGTGATAGCAAAAAACGGACTAGAGAGCCAGGTGTGATATTCAACACCTTTAATCCCAACACTGAGGAAGGCAGAGGCAGGCAGATCTCTGTGCGTTTGAAGTCAGATTGGTCTACATAATGAGTTTCAGAATAGGTAGAGCTATGTAAAGAGGCAAACAGAGATTAGAAAATTGTGATAGGTATAAATGAACGCAGTGCTAAGTAGTATTTCATCCTATGGGTCTGAGTGTTGCTGACTGGCATATTCAGTGCACCTGTGGTACTCGTAATGCCCATGCTAGCACCTCCCAGGAGAAGAGCAACCCCAAAACCCAAGCAGGGAGCCACAGCAAACACCAAGTGACACTGCATTTAAGATAAGGCAGGCAGGTAACTTACCAAGCCACCTTGAGGGATGGGGGGAGAAGCTGCATCATGAAGGCCACCCAGAGAAGTCTACCACATTGGTCCCTCACCCTGAGGGACGCCGCTGACGCACTGAAGGAGAGAAATCAAGACGACAGAGAAGTTGAAAACAAGGAGAATGAAGTCAAGAGCATCGCCACGTGAGGAGACAGGAGTTCAAATACACGTGCAGAACCAAAGAGTCAAAGGGCAAATGAGGAGGAAGGGGAGGTGCTTGTAAATCCACAAACATGTCTCTTTATCATCACTAGCAGTGCCAAAGTCTCCCTGGTACCACAAAGGTGGACTTCAACAATTGGGGATTTCTCATCCAAGTTATCTGCTGCTCTCAGAACATGGCCATCTTTATGTATCATTAATGCTAGTCCCTAGCCACCTTGGAAGCCACCACCTGTAAACAAAGCTATTCTCCATTTTCCCAAATGATAAACTCTCAGGCAATATAAAGTGCTTCCCATCAAGTCTGATGATTTGAGGTCAATACCTGGGACTCACATGGCAGAGAAAAAGAGAACTTAACCTTTGACGTCCGCATCCCTGCCCCCAACACATACACTTTTTTATTTATTAAGAAATTTCAAGGCTGGGCATGGTGGTGTATACCTGTCATACCAGCACTTAGGAGGCAGAGGCAAAAGGATCAGGACATTTTTTTCTTGGTTTTTCAAGAGAGGGTTTTTCTGTGTGGCTTTGGAGTCTGACCTGGAACTCTTTCTGCAGATCAGGCTGGTCTCGAACTCACAGAGATCCACCTGCCTCTGCCTCCTAAGTGCTGGGATTAAAGTTGTGTGCCACCACCCAGTTTAAATATCAGGACTTTAAGGCCAGCCTCAGCTACATAAAGAGTTTGGGAGTGGCTGGCACTATATGAGGTTCTGTCTTCAAAAGTTTAATAACCATAATAATCACTATTACTTAAAATTATTAAAGTATCAACAAATTTCAAAACAGTGCTTTAGTTTCAAAAGTGAACCCAATTTGACATTCAAAGTAATTATCAATTATATTATTATAAAGTGCTTAAAGGCAAAAATGAATTGATATGCCAAGATAAAAGGTTCTTAGATCCACTCAGGCTATATCTAAACTTACCAAGGCTGTTCATTCACCCTTGGAACAGAAGGCGTGACTTCGTGTGGCATTTTCTACGTTAACAACTAGTTCGTTTGGGGCCTGGGTACACTTACAATAACTGAAAGGACAAACACATACTGGTTCCTTTGTCAGATACTATTCTAGCACTTATAAATATTAATGCAATTAATATACACACAACTAATTTCACTTGCCTGTTTGGTGGTGTACTGTGTTGTTACAAGGGCCCAGATTGCTGACATTTTGCCCCTGCAAAATATGAGGACAGAATTGTTAGCAAGTGTTCACAAAGGTGCATCCACACATTTTCGATTGTTATTTGATATTTTCTAAACTCGGGAGAAACCTTAATCCATCATTTCAGGATAACTTTATTGTGTTTAATTTTTTTTTAAAGGCCCATTTAAGAAACCATCTCTATGTTCACTAAGAATAAGGACTTGAGAAACAAGTATCTCATGGCTTCAAAGAAAAATAATTCGGTTTAGCTGAGGTTCGCCTCACACTGGGTTTTTCTGTTTGATACAATCACATTTAATAATATCGAGGTGGGGGCCGTGTGTGAGGTCAGAGGACACCCTGCAGTAGTTGGTCCTCTCCTTCCACCAACCAAGTGTGTCTTGGGATTGAACTCAGGTCGTCATGCTTGGAGGTGAGCACCTTCCCTGGCAGAACCATTCTGCCAGTCCTTGATGTTATCCACGCCACCCTCCCTGTGACCATCATTTGTAGGTGACCATCTAACTTCTCACCTCACCCTCTACATTATGAAGCAAATACAGCTCTAAAGAGATAAGACCAATCCACAGATGCAGTTTTAAGATTTACCTAGAGATTCAACACAATATAACAAGGAAAGTGTTTGTCAAAAATGGGTGTTACTGTTTAGGCAAGGCTCAAGTGACATTTACCCTGGAGAGTCTGTGACTAGCCAGGAAGCAGAGAGGCTGTCTCCAGGATTTCTCACAAGTCTCAGACCCTCATTTTGGAGGGATACTAAAGCAAACCTCATGTTAGGGAAGCTCCGAACAGACTAATATGGTCATAATACCCAGCACTCATTCGTAATGAAAAACAGAACTGCAAAAAAAGCAGCTGCACTTAGTTTGATCCACAGTTCCTGTCCTGCCAGCACTCACCATCTCTTGCGGGCCCACAAATCCTAGACACCAGCATCCGCTGGCAGTTTGGAGATGAGGACCCATCCACGGAATGGACTGTCTGGTGAGCCTGCTGGAGCCACCATCAATGAGAGTCCTTCTAAGCCAGTCCAGCCCAGGCCATCCTGACACTGCCCTTCCCCTGAACAAACAAGAACGCACCTCTAACTCTATGCCCTTCCAGTCTCTTACCCAAGATGTGTCTTGAGGAAAAGCGGTAAACCATGAATCAGACGGGGTTCAACCCCACCCACTCTTTCCCTGATGTTCTGATGAGGACCACAGCTGACACGGTCCTCTGGTCCTGCTCCCCTCGACATTCTGATCTTTAACCTTCTCTCTCACTAACCTACCAGGTCCCTGAGGTGGAGCCGCTCATATGATTGGCACAGCTTACTATAGGGGCTCAGTGGATCTGTTCTTGAAGAAACGATGGCGTATGATGTGGGACTCCCCTCTGTAAGCTGTGAATACGTTTTATTGCCATTAGTCAATAAAGAAGTTGCATTTGGCCAATGGCTTAACAGAATAGAGCTGGGCAGGAAACTAAACTGAATGCCGGGAGAAAGTAGGCGGGGTCAGGGAGAAGCCATGTATCTGCTGCCAGAGACAGACATGCCAGAACCTTGCAGGTAAGCCAAACCATGTGGTGATACACAGATTAATAGAAATGGGCCAATTTAAGATGTAAAAGTTAGCCAGAAATACGCTTAAGCTACTGGCCAAACAGTATTGCAATTAAGACAGATTTCTGAGTCTGAATGGCCAGATACAAGCAAGCAGATTCCTCCAACAGGCATAAAACTATTAGAACCCAATGAACCATCAACAAACAGGGAAGGCTCTGCCAGGCAGACCTCATGGCTTCACTGACCAAGTGCTGACCTCCCTGTGGTGTCCCTTCCTCCAAGAGAACCAGGAACCAGGCAGGCTCTGTCTATATTCATGACTCAATTTTTGTTGTTATTGTTGCTGTTTCCTATGCTTCTGTGGCCAAAATAAACCTGAACTTATTAAAAAGAAAGAGCACAAAGTTCAAGACAACTGAGGAGCAATTCTGCAGCAAGGCCTCTGGCAGAGGTTACTAAGAAACACCATCAACAAAAAGGAAAACATACATTTGGCCGAGGAAGTCCTCAGCTGGTACAATGCTGGGAAACACACACAAAAGGCTGCGTTTGCTGCAGTGTCACCACAGCTGAGGCAGAGAGCAGTGTGGAGAAGGCTTTGCTGCTGCCTTCCTCCCATCCCTGAGGTACACAAGACCAGGGCATTGGACCACTGTGTTCTCCTCCCACTGGCCTCACAAGTCAACAACTGTCATCTCCTAACTGGATGCCTGGGGTTTTGAATGGTTCACAGCTGTGTGAATTTAAAAAGTTGTTCCCCTCACATTCACATTTCAGGTCCCTTTTGTGAGGGGATTAAGAAAAAATCTCCCCACTCTCCCCAATACCTGGTTCTAAATCTTCATCTAGACGTGGTTAGAGAGTCATTGGCACTCATTCTTTGAATAGTGTGCATGCAAATAGGCCAGGCACAGGTCTAGAGACTTTTATTCCAGAGCACAAAAAGAGGTCTCCTGGGAAGGCTCTGATAGATCAGGCTGCTGTGTGGCCTCCAACATGAGGGCAGGGGCAGAGCAGAGAGAGCAGCTCCAGGGCTCCTGGGATAGTGGAAGAGAAGCAAGGCTGGTCTTTAGAGTAGCCAGGGCTACGGACAGACGTGAATGGGCATCTAAAAGATGGCTTCTTCCTGGAATACAGATGAGATGCCCTGGATTGGTCACAGTGACCTGGATGTCTCCACGGCTATGGTTTACACCTGTGCCCAAAGATCCAGGCATTCAAGGCTCGGTGTCCAGCCTAGCATTCCTGGGGGTGGTGGGATCTTACATCACGGGTCTCTCTGCGCCCATTTTGCTCCACCCACAGCCCCCTCCACAGGCCTAATGCAAAGGGACAACTGTCATAACTTAAACATCCAAAACTGTAGAACAACATAAATCTGTTTATAAATTTATCATCTTGGGCATTTTATTTTAGTGATAGACATATAGATATGTAGTTAAGTAACACAATTTACTAGGTAGGTTTCTGTTTAAATTGCCGTCTTTATGAAAGAAAACTGAGTTTTAATCTAGAACAGAAGTAATCCATGATTATCAGACAGTGGAAAAGATCAAACAATAAAGTTATTTAAAAACAAAAAAACGGAGCTGGAGAGATGGCTCAGTGGTTAAGAGCACTGCCTGCTCTTCCAAAGGTCCTGAGTTCAATTCCCAGCAACCACATGGTGGCTCACAACCATCTGTAATGACGTCTGGTGCCCTCTTCTGGCCTGCAGATATACATACAGACAGAATATTATATACATAATAAATAAATAAATAAATAAATATTTTGCCGGGTGGTGGTGGCACACGCCTTTAATCCCAACACTCGGGAGGTAGAGGCAGGCGGATCTCTGGGAGTTCGAGGCCAGCCTGGTCTACAAGAGCTAGTTCTGGGATGGGCACCAAAGTTACAGAGAAACCCTGTATACATGTATTCCTACACTGGCCACCACCGTGTACAAGTATTTTTCATTTACCCTAGCTAAGGAGAAAGGCCCTTATATTTATGTGGTCACGCCAGGCAATGAGTGTTTAAAACATGGTTCTTCACATGAAGATCTACTGATCCACAGCCAAACAAACACCAAACAGAAGCACCCTTACAAGCCAGCTTCAAGTGTGTGGCTGCGCCAGTGGGAGGTCAGCCCCACAGCAACACCTAGCACAACACAAAGGAGGCGTCATGCTTCTATATACAGAGTTTGGCTCTGATAACTATGATAAGGTGATGGACAGTACAAAGGACATGATGAAATTCTTTAAAAATTAAATATCCTTTTTATTCTCTGATCTGTGGATAAATGGGGGTTGGGAAGAGGTCACAGTGTAGTGTCCTAAAACCTATCAGGCTGCTTTGAGTTCCACAGCCATGGAGGCTGCCGTCTGTCAGGGGTAGAATCCCTACCCTCCATTTCCACAACACTTCACTCCAATGCCGTCAGTTGGCCTAGTCTTAGCTACAGACAAAAGTAACACGTTCAGTATTTAGCTCTCAGAATGGACATGCTATGCTGTGTTCACTCAGCTTCTCTCAAACTGTGTCAAGACAGGCAAATCCCTACGGGTGATCTTGAGGCTGCCATACTGCCCTATGGCAGAATTCTTTTAGTGTCAATGTGTATACAGCTGGGGCCAGTGAGCGCACGCACACTCTGATCCAGGAGACTCACACGCAAACGACATACTGGCACGTTCAACATTTCATCTCGGAACGACTGCAGCTTATATCCTGGCCGTCTTGGACAGTTCACAGCATCTACTTTCTTTTCAGTTTGCTTCGAAGGATGACAGTGCACTGGCAAGATCATCAGGTAAAGGTGCTTGCTGCCAAGACTGAACTTGACTTCAAGTCCTGGGAGCTGCATGGTGGAAGAAGAGAACCAACTCCTGAAAGTTGTCCTCTGGCTTATACACAGACGCCCCAAAAATTTTCTTTAAAAAGCGTAAGTAACATCAAAAAAATCACTTCTATAGTTTCTGAGACTATAGCAGCATGCATAGGAAAAATTTTCTCTAATAGAGTCTCATTGGGTTTATTAATTACACTTCAAGGTAGACCGTATGCCCAGCAGTATGCCCAGCAGAAGACAGTTCACACAAAATGAACTCAATGGTATTTTTTGTTTCAAACTGCTTTCTTGGAACTTTTATTTTTTTTTCTTTCCTTTCTTTTTTCTTTCTTTCTTTCTTTCTTTCTTTCTTTTTTTTTGTCTTCATGCTCTTCTGCTTGTATATTTTATTTAGTTTTGAGATGGGGTCTCTCTGTGCAGTCCTGGCCATTCTGGAACTCACTGTGTAGACCAGGTTGGTTTCAAACTCAAGAGATCCGTCTTCCACTATCTCCTGAGTGCTGGGGTTAAAAGTCATTCGGCACCACTCCTAGCCTTTTGCTTCTGCTTTTTTCTCCGCTGCCCCATGTGTTTCTTAATTTTGTTTGTTTTTTGTTTAGAAAGAGAAAAAGTGAGGATGAGGAG